ATAGTCTTTTTTGTTAAAAGCCCGCCCCCTAGTTTCTGAAGAGGAAGTTAAGTAGAACGGATGTGGTCACGTGTTGGATTCAGGAAAAGACTGTCACTTGATCAGCCAAATAGTTTTATTACTGTATTCGGTCTTTATAGGGATTGGGATTCGTAAAATGCAGGCAATGATGAATAATTTGATGTTAATCAACCGTACAGCGTCTCCTCAACGCACACCATCAGTCAGTATATACCGTGAAACTTGCATTCGCATCTTGATATCGGTCTTTTAACGGGTTAAACAACCTCAGTGTATGAAGAATATATTGTCAGAACAGCTGTTTACTCCGCTTTACCTTTCCAAATCTAGATGCATACTGTAGAACTATGGTCTACTATGATATTAGTACTGCTCTAATAATAGACCTAATCCTAAACTTGTCGATTTGTCATGATATAACTGCCTAATCTATAAGATCTTACGTGGAAGTCACACCATCGACTACACCAACTCACTGTATCGTATCAATTACCAATACATGATGAGGAACAAGGTTAGGCTAGAGAAAGAACAATATATTTAATATGAATAGAAGATATAAAGTAACACTGAGATGGACCACGCCTGCATGGACGAGCCATGCCACTCGATCAACTCCAGTCCATTCAATTCATTGTTCGCGCCTTCTCCATTGTTAGGTATTTATCCGCGTTAAATATTGAATATCTATTTTCTGAGTAGTCTCGTGTTCAGCTTTGTGGATTGTGCGGTTATTGTTCAATGCCACTACACTACTCTCCCACCAGAATCAACGTGATGTTGGTTCGATACCGAATTGGATGGGATCGTCGTGCGCCGAAGGTTACCAAGACTAGGAAGAATCCCCCGGGTAATGATAAGCTGAAATATAAATCAAAAAGAAGGCGGCAGCATCTGGTCGGGAAATACATGTAATAATTTTTAAAAAAATCTGCCTTCATGCTTAACACACTTGAAATGAAAATTTGGGTGAAGATTATTTGAGCTATAAAAAATGGGATTACAATAATAATAATAACAATGATAATAATAATAATAATAAAACGATGCGTGTTAATAGCCGTTGGTTAATAACTTGACGTATAGGTAGTAAGTATTTTGTGTTTAGAAATATTAAAGTAATAAATGTTGTAGAATTATTAATATTGGTATTAGTTTTGATTTAAATTATGAAATCAATTTACAATTATGCCGGTATGTTGTCCATATGAATTGATTTCCAATTGCATCTGTATCAGTAGGCTAACTGAAGGAACACAAGTATTACCATGGTAAAGAATTCCAACTAGTGTTCCAGTTAGTTTGATACGGTTTATTTAGTTACAGGGAGATTTTCTCAACCTCATTTTTACTTGACCGTGATAGAATTTAGTAATACTACTAATACACATGAATGGTGATCAAAACAAAATTTAAATACGTTAGTGATAATTATATGAATTTTGGACAGATAGCTAGGAACAAATCATTGAACATGAGTGTGTTCGTAAGAGACATGCTCTAGACTCAATGTTCTGATCTGTGGCAGACTATTTATTTGTATTTATACTTGCCGGCTGATTGGGCATACAAGTTAGTTGCAAGTATGCAGTTTATTATAAGGCGGAATACGATTTAATTGAGATATAGTGGTTATAAGTTATTAAAATCAGTTAAGCCTATGGGTCATATTACGAAGTGATGTGGTGCTGCAAGATGTATTTAGCTAAATAAGTTTTTACAAGATGATTAATAGTGATTGATGCTCATGTGATTATCAGGGAGAACATAAGTTGTAACCAAGGGGAGTACACTCCCAACTCATGTCTTTGATAATGACTTGAACCTTAGTCAGTGTTGGGGTAAATTCGACATTGATGTTTTCAGTTTGCAGGAGACTTGCTCGACTGCTTATACTGATTATTTGCATGCATGATTGTGTCGCTAAACCTCCAATTAGACTGACAAGGTTTTGAGATATTTACTGAATAAGCAACTGATAGAGAAACATACTGTAATCATCTGTAGTGAATGAAGATAAAAGAAAAACAACACTAGTGATAATTATAAGTCAATTTACTGACCGATTTTGTTAATAGTTTCATTAATATTATCAATCATATTACGTGATTGTCAAGTCATGACAATGCTTTATGACGATATCCTGAAACTTATGTTTAACTAGTTATAGTGTTGAATGAGGATTAGTCAGTAGAAAAATAGGTATTGTTGCTTTAGGTGATTCGAAATCATCAGAAATTTATCACGTTAAAGAATCCGAGACGCCTAATTTAATTATAAATTTCAATTCAGAAATATTCGTTTAGTGTTAATTCTAGTAGGCTACGGAGTTTTGATTTTAAACGTTTGTCTAGCCAACAGCCACCTAGGGATTTTGTTATTTTACTAGTGCAGTTAATAGTACCTAAATTTTTAATCTTATTATCTAAACTATGTTCGCATTTTAGGCTGCTAATATGATAAATCAATCCATAAAGCCAAATACGATTAGCGACAACGACTACAATGGGTTTATTGATAAATGTTAAAGGCGATTCAGATGATTCCTAAATTTAGAAGACATGAAGATATAGTGTAACGTATGTGCTGGCCAGGTTGACAAGCAGGTTGTTGACGTATATCACAATTTAAAAATAATGAACATGATCAGATAAATAAATTCCAAGTTAAGACTGCTTGTGAAACTTCAAGCAGGAATATGACGCGTTATAAACATTCCATAAGAAGTTACTGCATTTAACCTAGGGACACTTACAAATTTATGGCAAAAGTAACTGGAAAACATATATATGTTAAGTACAAAAAATCATTAAGTAAAATAGTTGAACTCGCCTGGATTATTTTTGAAAATCAGATTATTCAGTGAACGACATATATAACGCCATTCGTGAGTAGTAGTAATGATCCAAAAGCATCCAGAATAAAACATGCAGTATGGCAATTAATTCCAGGGTGCTTGATGCTGTTGAGGTTTTTGCCACTCGCTCTGATCAGAACAATCGAATGAATCCAGATAATTGTGTGTGGCATCTAAAATGAACTTATGATTGCAGAAAACTTAGAGCTGGAACTCACCGTATTTTTTGGAGATGTGTCATCCTTGTTGTTTGGCAATGGAACTCGAAAATATGAAATTAGGCAGGCAGTGGTCGGAAGAAAAGATATTACAGGATAGTGCATAGTTTAGAACATGATGAGTTGAAGGAACACCAAGAATTAGATCCAGATAACTATTTAGTCCTTGATCGCATTGTTAGTCAATGTATATTTACGCTATTTACAGGTCATATTTGCTAGAGCTTGATGTTTAAACAAGACTATGTCGCTGAAGCATGTAAATGCTATTACAGCTTGTTAACAAACCATCAAAGCTAATTAGTTAATATAGACGACCGGTTTTTATTATCGATTGAGCTAGTTTGTCATGAGGACTAATCAATATAATATTACGATAATGCATGTGAGCATTAATCAGAGGACTATTAGAATACAGGGTTAACATAAATATAAAATCGATCGAGAAAGTTGAAGTGGAAATAAGGATTAATGATAATAGGTTGCGTTTCTTTAGTTGGGCTCACCAATGTAGAACTATGGTCTACTATGATATTAGTACTGCTCTAATAATAGACCTAATCCTAAACTTGTCGATTTGTCATGATATAACTGCCTAATCTATAAGATCTTACGTGGAAGTCACACCATCGACTACACCAACTCACTGTATCGTATCAATTACCAATACATGATGAGGAACAAGGTTAGGCTAGAGAAAGAACAATATATTTAATATGAATAGAAGATATAAAGTAACACTGAGATGGACCACGCCTGCATGGACGAGCCATGCCACTCGATCAACTCCAGTCCATTCAATTCATTGTTCGCGCCTTCTCCATTGTTAGGTATTTATCCGCGTTAAATATTGAATATCTATTTTCTGAGTAGTCTCGTGTTCAGCTTTGTGGATTGTGCGGTTATTGTTCAATGCCACTACAATACCACTTAGACTGACAGATTCAGCAAATCTCGGAGATGCTCATCAGTTATGTATTTCATGACTTTTTAAACATACACTGATTATATTTCAACTGGAATTTCAGACGAAGGAAAGCAGCTTAGATGTATTAACCCAGCATTCACAAGACTACGGCAACACGACATTACTAGTAACATACAGATTTACGAAAACCAGGACCCTTGATTAGATCTGTGACCAATAATTTATATTTTAGTTGAACTTTCTCAAGATTTATGATTGACATTTGCGATCAAACAGTCATAACTGATTGTAACGTTTATGGAAGCTCTATCGTGGTCCATCCACAATAATGGTTTATCGTTTACGTTAAAGACAGTTGTATACTAACGTCTTGTCCCATATTGCAATTTAGCGTTAAATAAATCCACAAAATAAATAGTTCTGTAAGTCTTCGACATTGGATGCTGACCACATTAGTTTTAATGAACTCACCTAGCCAAAGGCACTAGGCCATGGATACGCTCCAGATCACGAGTGGGGACGCTTTGCTCAAAATCCCCCGCAATCGCTAGTCAGTCTAGATCAGTCAAACTTCGATATATTGATGGCCTATCTAATGTATCTTCTAATCTCCCCGCTTCTGTCGTTTGATTTTACTCGGTGGGTATAATTTATAGTAGAATGTGTTACTGGTTAAAGCGTTGTCAAACTCCGAACACCTGTGGCATCGTCTATCCCAAACATAAGGCAAGGTGACTAGAGAATATACGGTTGCACCCTGTCCAGCAACACCATTTTCCAAAACTTTTTATACGAAGATCTTAAGGGCAATTGAATCAAATGTCAGAAATGAAGGAACGTGAATTTATATTTCAACAATTGTTGATGCATTAAATTTTACGGGATTTCAGTTGACTGCTTATTATAAGAGATGTGCAGTATGACGCACATAAATGTGGTCTCGTGCGCACGCAAAATCGAGTGGTTATCATCAGGGATGGCCCGAAGTGTCTGCGTTTGGTCAAAAAGTATCGCATGTGCTAGGGGATTAAGTAAGAAACTAGTATTAGATAGTTTAATTCGCAGCATGTGTAGAGTCATAACATGACAGACTTTAAGGATTTATTCACGCATAAATTATGTTAGGTTTCATCAGGCGGCCCAATTGATAAATACTGACAATTGTTCGGAATACTTCAGGGATCCGAATGCCTGATGTTCTGTAAGGTACTTGTGATGGTAGATTGTTTTTAATAATACACTAACAGATTGATTCATTATGGTGATGGTTTCTACCGTAAATCGATATCAGCCGTCAAGCAAGAATAAATTTTAAAAATGAGTTTGGAAATGTATTAAATATTAGGTTATTCATGTATCGTATATGTTTCCTGATTGTATGCGTGCGGATTTGTGGTTTGTTGTAGGAATAAAGTCGAACATAGGAGACCTTTGGGGTTATGCCAATTAGGTTTTAAAACTTGGATAAAAAATAGGCGAGTCGATGTGCATTTAGGCGAAAAGTAGACAGTTAGGCGTATATGTAGGCAAAAAGTAGACAATTCAGTGAAAAAGCGACAAAAGGGGGAAATCCGCATTATTCCCCCACGATAGGCAAAAAAGTGACATTTTGGAGAGTTTTACTCTTTATTTTCCAACGCATTTCCCCCTTCATTTCCCCGTTTTAGCCTTTATTTCCCCTTCATTTGTTGCTTGGGCGGATGTGGGGTTCGAAATTATTTGTGGTTCAGCTATTACTGTAGTTGGATTAATTAAACAACTGATTTGAATGGTTTTCGAAATTTTCAGAATTTGAGCATGGTTCATAATAAATTAGGTTGCGTTCTGCAACTTATGATTGAAGTTGCTCATTCGTTTGCTTTACGCTCCAATAGCACGCTCGTTGTTTGACCTTCAAGGGCGTAACTACCAGCATTTTGTACTGTATCTAAATCCGACCTTAGGCGCGGTAGTCGAAATGATCATCTTAGTGCCATAATCCGGTTAGTTCATCCAGTTGTTACTGAAAATATGTATTATTAACACACTTTACGAATTTGTAACCGGAACACTTGAATTCCTTCGTTTTTTCAAAGCAAAATGTATTGTTCGATATAGTGTCATAAAAATCCTGAAACCCGAACAAACAATAAAAGGGGGGAATGCGAACAGAGGGAAAATAAAGGAGAAAATGAGTTGGGAAATTTATGAGAACTAATGGGGAAACGCGATAAAATGTCTGCCTTTTCGCATATCTGGGGAAATAATGCGGATTTTCTTCTTTATGTCACTCTGTTTTAAATGTCGCTGAATTGTCTACTTTTAGCCTAAATGCACGCAAAATTGTCTTCTTAACTTTCAATTCTTCAGTGTTTCCGTATTTATTTGATACATGTTAAACAGTACATTTATTTACACAAAACTGGTGTGTTGTACACGTTACCCTGGTTCGGGGTTTATCCTTTAGTTATTAATTTGTATAAGTCATCTAATTTACTGGTTTAACACTGTCTTAAAACCTTTCTAAAATGATGTTCATCAACTACTGGATTTTAATGATAATAGGTCCATCAGCCTAATTAGGCTGAAAAATATACCACCCAATGTTTTAATAAGATTCGTGTCCTTTGCTTGGTAACAATCATATTCCGTGATTGTAGTTCTCTCTGAACGATGTTTGCTAAATGCGAAACAACTCAACCTAAGTATTTATATTCTTTTGTAGTTTAAGCATATATTACTTTCCCAGTTTTCCCTCTTGTATCGGTTGAGCAACAGTCTGGGCAACATATATATATATATATATATATATATATATATATATATATATACATCGACACCCGAACTAATGATAGGGAGTGAAGTAATTGAGCATGTCGACCGCTTCACTTATCTTGGAAGTCTCATCAGCCCTTGTGGTTTAGTGTGTGACGAAATCTCAGCACGGATACAGAAGGCTCGACTAGCTTTTGCCAACTTGCGTCATTTATGGCGTAGGCGAGATATCCGTCTATCAACCTAAGGACGTGTTTACTGCGCAGCAGTTCGCTCCGTCCTACTTTATGGCAGTGAAACATGGCCTGTAAGAGTAGAGGATATCCGTAGGCTACTAGTATTCGATCATAGGTGTCTTCGAAACATTGCTCGTATATCCTGGGACCATCGAGTAAGTAACACAGTTGTTAGGACACGGGTACTAGGTAAGGATGGCAAATCAATTGATGACGTAGTGAAACTTCATGAGTTGAGATGGCTGGGGCATGTGTTACGTATGCCCAACGACCGACTGCCTCGATGTGCTATGTTCAGTGGTATAGGAGTAGGTTGAAAGGAAGCTAGTGGCGGCCAGACCAAAACATGGCACAAGTCCATGAAGTCACTGACAAGTGAACTGAGTCATGTTGGTAGGTGTAGACTACCTGGTTGGGGACCGCGAGATGATAGCAACCGATGGTTAGAGACCCTGAATGACATGGCTCAAAATCGTTTGCAATGGTGCAGGTGTATACACTCTCTGTGTTCTCCAAAATTCTAATCTTCTGAATTCTTCATGTTCCTTTCTTTTTCGAAATTTATTTCACTGGATTATACTTTTTAAATAACATCTCCAAACCCTAATCTTCCCGATTACTGCTTATACTCTTATTACCTCTACCACTACGGGATTTGAATCGACAAGTGCATCTCTGTGCTAATGTGGTGTGGCAACTCGAACTGATGTACGTACGTACGAAGTTCTACGTTGTTACTGACTGACTGACTGATATATGTAAGCGTATACGCTTAGTCTATTTCCCTACTTGCAGTATGAGAGTAAATTTAGAAACAATCTCGCATCATTTTCCTGGAAAAAACTTTTCAGTCAGTGCATTGAAGATTTGAAAAGCCAAACGTTTGCTGCAAATATTGATCTGAAATGTTCTAGGACAAAATTTCACTCATTTTACTATTAAGGATCATAGAACTTTTTGTTCGTATTCTAAGATACAGGTTGTTACACCATACATATATGCCATAAGTCACGATTATTAAGGTCTCAGCATTATTCATGATAAGAATAGTGATAATTCTACACTGTCATTTGGTGACTTTATATTTCATAACCTTAAAGTTCTGCAATATAATCTATAAATAATTGTAAAACCTTACCAACAATGCTGTGTCTGTATGAGTCAGTCAGTGCACTGAGTTTTAGTAACAGCATTTGCTTACTCTTACTCCATGTATTGTAACCACATATAAAGTGCGGGAAAAAATCAGCCAATGAAAAATCCTTTGACGAATGAAGTTCAGCTAAAGCTACTTTAGGTTTCGGTACCCAGATGAGAAATAGTTTAAATAATAACATGAAAATAAATGTCACTTTTGCAGTGCACATATAGTTGAAACAGCTGTCATATGAAAAACTTCAACTAATGTAAACTAATTAGAATGGTTTGTCGGAGGTATCGTTGTTTAATGTTGAGTTTTCAACGCATGTCCTATTTCACAAGTACCTTTTTGGTAATATTTGAGTTAGTTTGTTTTTATTTCTATCTTTCTGTGCTTCCATTCCGCTCAAGTTCGTAGTAATCTAAAAGAAAATAAAGTATAGAAAACCAAGCCTTTATATATGGGTATTGTTACCATAGGGATAGTTGGTATTCATCACATGTGTTATAATGGGGGAAAGTTTGGATATTTGAAGTAAGGCGCTGCAATTCCGGAATGAAATCAGCCTTTAAGTCTGGTAAAATTAGAGTCGTTTCTTTTTTGTAGTGTTAGTGTTTGTACTCACGGATAATCAATAATAAAACTTACACAGTATTCCCATGAATACATTTAGGTAAAGTCATGTAAGACGAACTTGGTGTACAGAAATCTCGTAGTAGAACGCTTTTCTTGTACCTGCTTACTGATTTTATTAAAAATATAATACACAGTTGGCATTCCTATACTAGCAGTTATAATGTTTTGTGTAATATGTGAGGATTAGTGAGTTACTGTTTCACTAGTTAATTTAAGGCTTTAACCTGATGAGTGGTAGTTTAGTTATTATTATTATTATTATTATTATTATTATTATTATTATTATTATTATTATTATTATTATTATTATTATTGTTATTATTATTCATATCTCAGGTAGTTTCTAACTTGAATAAATGCATCTTAGACGATTAGCATTGTACTATCTTAGATATACAGGTGTAAAAACCTAATTTTCTACCTTTATGATCATCCAATGGTAATTTTACCGTGATATCCTGTTTCTTAAAATGGATTGGTTGTATACTTCAACCTTTCTACAGTGAAATATTTTATTTCTTTAGTAATATCAGTCATGTGGACAATAAGTTACTATTTGCTTCTATTTATTTTCCAGATACTGTAAGCATTTTATGCTGCATTTATTCCCGAATTATTTTCATCTTAAATCCTGCACTGTATATTCGCACTATGGTTAGTGTACATTATGGTTTTGCATTACGAATTGTGTAGATAAATTTTATGTTATTGTTTAGTCGTCAAGGTAAAGTGCGACTTCAAAAATGGTACAGCTCTTATACGGAGAAAGAAAAGAAAAAGTATTTACGCGAAATTATTTCTCTAGTCTTTGCGAGGAAACCAAAAATGTGCTCGTTTCTAGAATGGCAAGACCTTAAGATTGTGTACAGAAGGTGTGTTTGTAATTTATTGCAACTACACTTTCTTTAACAGATATGCTAGTCTCTATTTTGTGTGCGCTATTGATCAGACAGATAATGAATTGATTACATTGGAGATTATTCATCGTTACGTGGAGATTCTGGATAAATATTTTGGAAATGTAATTCGTATTTAACAAAATTGTATTTTTAAGGTCTGTGAATTGGACATAATCTTCCACTTTGAAAAAGCTTACTTTGTTTTGGATGAATATTTACTAGCTGGTGAAGTACAAGAGACAGGGGCAAAAGAAATTCTTTCTGTGATAGATGCACAAGATATAATTCAAGAGGTATGTTTTTTCTACTAGTCTCATTTGATTTTCTTTCAGGATGAAGTCCCACAAAAACTTTTCGAAGACCAAAGTCTCAATTGACAGTAGTACTTTATTTGGGTCGCCAGATTATTTAAGTCTTACGTTTACCTCCCTCCATGGCATTGTCAGATGTTCTTAAAAATAAACTTTACTTTTCTACTGCCTTGATATTAATATTGTCTTTCTTTAAAATATGAAAGTTGTCGTTATCTACGATTAACTCTATGCAAAGATATAGGGTAAGATGACAAGTAACCGAATAGATTCAGTGGTGTGTAGAAATAACTATGCATATAGTTTTTTATCATTTTGGAAAGAGCAAGAACAAAAATTTTAAAGAAGATAACATGAATTTATCTTATTTCGTTCAGTTCTCGTTAGTTGCCTTCAACCTATAGTGTTTAAAAGTAAAAATTACAAAGTGGGTTTAAATTATGTACATGAAAGTGGTTATTTAGAAGTTGCTGTGATCACACATTCATATAATGTAGCAACGATGTATATAAACTTAACAAACTAAATAAAATATTATAAATGTATATCTTATGTGAAAGAATATTTTATAACATTGTTAGTAACACAAGATCAAAGGGTTAGAAACAGTTAGTTACATAACAAACGAACACCGATAATAAGGATAAATTAAGCGAAGTTCATTTGCTCGCCTCCGTGTCTATAAATTTACTTGCATCTTTCAAACGAGCTACATTAACCGTACAATAATGAGAGCATATCTTAGACTGTGTAGACACGCTCCCAAACCCCTTCGGACAAGAGAAAGTACTACTTTAAATAACTCGAACACTAAATACCTTTTGGACACAGGACATCAAGTCAATACCTTAAAATCCTTCAAGGATATTAATAAACAACCAAACTCCAGTCATTTGAAGTTCACTAAAACTATCTTTATCAGACGTCAGAGAGATGGTTTCTAATCTTTCTTTGCCCTGGTGAGAAACATGTTTTCCATTACGTCATTAAAGGCTGTCCAACTTTTTTTAATTAGTTGCATCAGTATGCCTGTATTGTAAATGTCTTCTACATTGTTAGCTTTATTTTACCAAGCAGAACTTTGTTGATTTTATGCTTATTATCAGCATTTGTCTGTTGCGTAACCACTTGTTTCTAGCCTTTTCATCTCAGGTTACTATCAATCTTGTAAAATATTCTTTCATATAAGATATATATTTACAATATCCTTGTCTCCTAATTTTTTTCATATTATTGCTATACTGTATTGATTTTGATCATAGCAACCTTTAAATATTGCAGGATGCATGTAGCTGGCGAGAACGAAACGAAATAAAATGAATCCATGCTATTCTGATATAACTTATATATATACCTTTGAGAAACCAGACTATATGAGATACGAAACCAATTGTCCTTCCGTCCGGTGGATGTCGATAATTCTGTTATTTTCATCTTCTGATGGATCCTGGTTTTGTGTGAAGACGCTTACAAAATGCAGAGTCTTCTAATCACTCTAATCAACAATGCAAGCATGTTCGGAATGCGATTCTCCCCCTCGAAATGCAAAATGTTGCTTCAGGATTGGGTTACATCGACACCCGAACTAATGATAGGGAGTGAAGTAATTGAGCATGTCGACCGCTTCACTTATCTTGGAAGTCTCATCAGCCCTTGTGGTTTAGTGTGTGACGAAATCTCAGCACGGATACAGAAGGCTCGACTAGCTTTTGCCAACTTGCGTCATTTATGGCGTAGGCGAGATATCCGTCTATCAACCTAAGGACGTGTTTACTGCGCAGCAGTTCGCTCCGTCCTACTTTATGGCAGTGAAACATGGCCTGTAAGAGTAGAGGATATCCGTAGGCTACTAGTATTCGATCATAGGTGTCTTCGAAACATTGCTCGTATATCCTGGGACCATCGAGTAAGTAACACAGTTGTTAGGACACGGGTACTAGGTAAGGATGGCAAATCAATTGATGACGTAGTGAAACTTCATGAGTTGAGATGGCTGGGGCATGTGTTACGTATGCCCAACGACCGACTGCCTCGATGTGCTATGTTCAGTGGTATAGGAGTAGGTTGAAAGGAAGCTAGTGGCGGCCAGACCAAAACATGGCACAAGTCCATGAAGTCACTGACAAGTGAACTGAGTCATGTTGGTAGGTGTAGACTACCTGGTTGGGGACCGCGAGATGATAGCAACCGATGGTTAGAGACCCTGAATGACATGGCTCAAAATCGTTTGCAATGGTGCAGGTGTATACACTCTCTGTGTTCTCCAAAATTCTAATCTTCTGAATTCTTCATGTTCCTTTCTTTTTCGAAATTTATTTCACTGGATTATAGTCCTTGAATAACATCTTCAAACCCTAATTTTTCTGATTACAGCTTATAATTTTACTACATCTAGCACTACGGAATTTGAATTGACCACTGCATCTCTGTGCTAATGTGGTGTGGCAACTCGAACTGATGTACATACGTACGAAGTCCCACGTTGTTACTGACTGGTTTTATGTTGTCCACTACGATTGTTTGTCGTTAATTTATGGAAATCTCAGTGTATTTTAACTAAGAGTATTTATTTCAGACATATATTCAGCAAGCTTTTTTGTTATTAGTTTGAATAACTTCAGGTCAATTTAATACATGTTGTGTTTGGGTCCCTAAATACAAAATATTCGTTAGTAAATATTAAGTTTGTGGACGTATCTTTAAATATTTAGTGCTTATAGGTGCTTCATGAGTATTAATAATGAAATGTGGTTGCATTTGCTCTTGTGGAATAACGAATACAGTCTATAATTAGTTGTTTACGAATTTTACTACATTATTTAGTGATAGTTTACATCACATTGCGTTCCCACTTTAATAGTCACATCATGAAACTATAACGTAAAGGTATAAGGTACTTGTACCTTTTTGATGATGGTTGTTGTAATTCTCCAAGTTTCAGCTGCATACAGTGAAACTGTATTGACGTTCGTATTGAAGATTCTGACTTTGATATTGGTTGACAGTTGTTTTGAGTTCCATATGTCCTTCAATCGTAGGAATGCTGACCCTGCTTTGCCAATCCTCGCCTTTACGCCTGCATCAGATCTTCCTTGTTCATTGACGATGCTGCCCATATATATGAAAGTTTGCACCTATTTCAGAACTTCTCCATGAATGTGGTTAGGCTGGTGTTGTCCGTGTTGTGTACGAGGATCTTGCTTTTTCCTTTGTGTATGTTGATGCCCACTGGTTGTCTTCATGTGCATTTGTTCGCGTGTATGAGATAGAAGGGCCAGATCATCTGCGAAGTCCAAATCGTCTAGCTGCATCCAATCTATCCATTGTATTACGTGCTTCCCGTCAGATGTGGAGGTCTTCATAACTCAGTCAATCACCAGAGGAAAGGGGGGGGTGAGAGTAAACAGCCTTGTCTGACACCGGTCCTGACTCGGAAAGCGTCTGTCAGCTGTCCTTCATGCACCACTCTGCAGTGTAGTTCGTCGTAGGAATTCCATGATATTGAAGATCTCAGGTACATCATATTGTCGAGGAAGGTCCAATAAAGTTCCCCTATTCACTATATCAAACGCTTTCTCATAGTCAGGGAAGTTGATGTACAGTGACTAGTTCCATTGAATTGATTGTTCGACGGTGATCCGTAGTGTCACGATTTGATCTGTGCACGACCTTTCATCACGGAACCCAGCCTGTTGGTCTCGAAGTTGGGCGTCTACTGAATCCTTCATCCGGTTCAGCAACAATCGGTTGAAAATCTTTCCTGGTACTGATAGCAGTGTGATGCCTCTGTGGTTCTCGTATTTGCTCAGATCTCCTTTTTTGGTATCTTGGTGGGGTATCCTTCTTTCCAGTCTGTCAGTAGCACTTGTTCTTCCCCTCCTCATATCTTTCCGAATAGAACGTGGAGCATGTCCGCAGTTACTTCTGTGTCTGACTTCAGTGCTTCAGGTGGTATATTGTCTGAACCTGCTGCTTTCTCACATTTGATTTGTCTGATGGCCATGCTAATTTCTTTGATCGTTGGTGGAGTTACATCTGTAGGAAGGTCTATAGGTGCTGCTTCGATATCCGATAGATTCAATGGAGCTGGTCTATTCAAGAGTTCGTCAAAGTGTTCTACCCATGGGTTCATCTGTTTGTAGATCTCAGTGATTGGCTTGCTTTCTCCCTTGTCCTTGACCGGTTTCTCTGGTTTACCATATTTCCCTGCCAGTTTCTTCGTCGTGTCATATAGTTGTTTCATATTTCCTTCTCTTGTAGCTTTTTCCGCCTTCGTTGCTAGTTCTTCCACGTATTTCTGCTTGTCGGCTCTAATACTCTTCTTCACTTGCTTGTTTGCTTCTATGTACTCAGCTTGTGCTTGGACTTTCTCTGCTCATGTTCGGCTATTGTTAATTGCTGTCTTCTTGTTCTTCCATTCTTTGATCCTATCCAGTGTTTCTATAGAGTTCCATTCCTTATGATGGTGCTTCTTTAGGCCCAGAACCTCTTGACACGTTGAAGTTGATGCTTCTTTGATACCTTTCCAGTTGTCATCCATAGTAGTTTCTTCTTCTTTCAGTAGATCCTGTAAGGCTTGGGACCTGTTGTTGAGAATTATGTCGAATTCATTGAATTTGTCAGTATCTCGAAGAAAGGCTGTATTGAACCTTTGTAATGCTGTTTCAACAGTTGTCCAAATTGATAGATTAGTCATGACAAATCTATTTTTTCATTTCTTGAAATATTGTTTTGGCTAATCTTGAGATCGTGCCTAAACATTCAATTATTAGTCCTACTCCAGATATGTTGATGAAGCATTATCGTTGATATCAATGAGAAACATACGTTCCAGTTGTGCATCACTGTTCATCGAAGCAAATAAAAACAGTTTATCACGAAACGAGGTCCCACTTTTTTGATATAGTGATAAAGTGAAGATCAGATGGCAAAATTCAGTGTTTAATTTATTTTAGGGTACGTGTAATGGATTACGCATGGATTTTGATAGCCTTGATTTGGTCAATTACAAAATAACAGTGGTTTAATGTAGTTAGCATGTAAAAATATTGGAGGGATGATCGAAA